CACACACAAGAGAGATACGAGAACACACACACACCACAGAGAGGAACGAAACACACACACACAACTAGAGAGACACCCGAACACCACACGACAGAGATCGACGAGAACACACACAAACAGAGAGAGAACACGAAACACACACACAGAGACACGAACATCACCACACAGAGACACGAACAACACAGAACACAACACACACACCAGAGACACAACACCACACACACAAGACACTGAACACCACACCACAAGAGAGACACGAACACACACACATAGACACGCAACACACACACCACAGACACGAACACACACAACAGAACACTGAACACACACCACAGAGAACACGAACACACACACAGAGCACGAAACACACACACACAGAACACGAAACACACAACAGAAGACCGAACACACAACAGAGAGAGACAACGAACAACACACACGAGAGACACGAACACCACACACACAGAGAGAGACACGACACACCACCACAGAGGAGACACGAAACACACACACACAGAGAGAGACACGACACACAACACACCAGCAGAGACACGAACCAACACAGAGAGAGAGAAGACACGAAACACACACACCAGAAGAGAGAGAGATACAACGAACACACAACACACACAAGAGAGGAGAGACACGAACACACACACACACACACACACAGAGAAGAGGACACCGAAAACCAACACACACACCAGAGACACGAAACACACACACACACACAGAGAGCGAGACACGAACACACACACAGAGAGACACGAAAACACACACACAGAGAGACACGAACACACACACAGAGAGACACAACACACACACACAAGAGACCCGAACAACAACAGAGAGACACGAACACAACACACAGCAGAGAACACGACACCACACACACAGAACACGACACAACATCACACAAGAGACACAACACACACACAAGAGAGACATAACGCACACACACAAGAGAGAGACACGAACACACACACACCAGAGAAAGACACGAACCACACACACACACACAGAAAACACGAACACACACACACACTAGACACGAACACACATAAAACATAAGAACACGAACACACACACGTAACCACACAACACACACAGAGACACGAACACACACACAGAGACACACACACACAGCAAGAACTTAACACACATCACAGAGGACACGAACACAAATCACACAGAGTACACGAACACACACACACAGAGACACCGAACACAACACACACAGGAGACACGAACACAACTACACAACAGAACCACGAACAACACATCACACAGAGAACACAACACACAACAGAACCACGAACACACACACACCAGATACACGACACACACACCACAAGAGACACGAACCACACACACCACACAGAGACCACGACACACACACAACAGAACCACGAACACACACACACAGAGACACGAAACACACCACACACACACAGAACACCGAACACCACACACACAGAGACACGAACCACACACACACCAGAGACAGCAAACACACACACACAGAACCGAACACACACACACACAGAGACACGACACACACACACACAAGACACAACACACACACACACAGACACGAACACAACACGGAGATACTACAACACACCCACCACGAAGCACGAACAACACACACGGAGAGACACGTACACACACACGGCAACGACAACGAACACACACACGGAGAGACACGAACCACACAGGGAACACGAACACACCACACGAAACACGAACACACCACACGAGAGAACACGAAACACATACGGATAGAACGAAACACACACCGGAAACACGAACACACACACGGAGAGACACAACACACACAAGAGACCGAACACACAACACGAAGACACGAACACACACCGAGAGACACGACACACACAGAGGACAGAGAGAGACCAAACACACAGAGACAGATAGAACACGAACACACACAGAGACAGAGAGAGACACGAACACACACCACAGAACACGAACACACACACGGAGACACGAAACACACACACCGAGAGACACAACACACACACGAGAGACACGAACACACACACGAGAGACAACGAACACACACACGGCAACGACACGACACACACACACGGAGACACGAACACACAACACGGAGAGACACGAACACACACACACGGAGACACAACACACACCCACACGGAGAGACACGAACACACACCACACGGAGAACACGAACACACACAACACGGAGAGACACGAACACACACACACACTGTACACGAACACACACACACACACTACGTTTGACACGAACACACACACCAACACACACTTGACACGAAACACACCACACACCAACACTGGTGACACGAACACACACACACACACACCTGTGACACGAACAACACACACACACACTCGTGACCGAACACACACACAACACACACTGCTGACACGAAACACAACACACCCACACATGTTGACACGAACACACACACAACACTGTGACACGAAACACACCAACACACACGTGTGACACGAACACACACACACCACACAGTGTGACACAAACCACACACACACACACACTTGTGACACCGAACACACTGTGACACGAACACACTTGTTGACACGAACACACTGTGACACGACACACTGGACACGACACACTGTGACCCGGACACCTTTGACCACTGACAACACGTGTGACACGACACACTGTGACACGGACACACTGTGACACGGACACACTGTGACACGGACACACTGTGACACGGACACACAGAGACACGGACACACGACAACACACGCACAGATCCAGTGATTAGCAAAGAAGAAAGCTAGGTCCTGACCAGTATTATAACGTATTCCACCCAAGAACATATTGGACAGCTGATTGTTGCGAGTTTAAAGCATTTCCAGAACATTTTGAAGTCACAATTGCGTAGTATCAGGAATGAACTTCTGATATAATGGCCTCTGCAAGTGTTCACATTTCGATTTCAGTTTGGTAAATGTATAAAAGATGCAACAGCCTTGTTTTTTTTATAAAGTTGACTTAATTCTCCTCCATATTAAAAGTCTTTAATTTTTAACTCTGCATTATACCAAGATATAAAACATGTCATTAAAATTAAGAGTGTCATAAAATATGTAATGTCAAAATCTGTGTAGGTTTGAAAAGTAAGAGTCCCAGGCAATACAATTCAAAGTGGGAATTATCATGTTCACTGCCAAGTGCCATACTACACCATGGTGGAACCTTCCTTATACTACTCAGTGCCAATATTTAGTTGATGCATTTCCAAGCAAAGTAATTATGCCAATTAAATGCAGTTCATTCACACCGTGTAGTGATCTGTAAATGTGTAAATAACAAAGAATTTGAGAATTTGCAGTTAGGTGAAACACTATCAAATATTTTCATACTAAAACATATTTCTTGAGACCATAAGATCTCACATTGCTGCTATTGTGTTAAAGATTTATAATCACTGTTGTGAAAATTGTACTGTTGACTCTGTTGAGTAAGTTGGAAAAGTTCTTCGAAGAAAATATATCATATTCAAAATTAGACAATATATGTGGAAAGAAATCAAGTGAGTTTATAATATTACTGATGGATATTACTAGTTAATAGCAAAGGCATATGACTGCTGTGATTTGTAGTTTTCTGTGATTTCTCAGATCAGCACAAGGCAAATGCTTCAGTTGTACCTTAATAAATGAGGCAAGGTCCTCATGTGATCATTCCTTCCACTTCCTTACCCTATCCTTAATCTTTACTTACACACACTCACACTCACATTCACTTGTATGCCCGGTTGGTGAGTGGTGCCAGCTGGCGAGAGATACCTGGTGGGGTAAAACTCCCCCAGGTTGACAAGCAGGTTAACTCCGGATTTCGCCATCTGGCAGGGGAAGATCACCCATACCTCCAGTGATAAAAATCCTAGACTAAACTTATGCAACTAATGACCTTATCAGTTGACATGCCCAGAATCACAAACCAAACAATATAAATCAATTGCATCAGGTAAAAACAATCCCTCATCAGAAGGTGCTGAGGAGTCTTTAACTCTTTGGATCCATTGAGGGAGGTCTTTCAAACAACTTTCTGGGAGAAATTAATATTACTGGATTTTATATAGTCTGTAAGCAATTTCAATCATTTTAGGAACTGAAAGCCCCATTTTTGTTTCACTTGTGTCAGTTAGATGTTATGATATAAAATCACTGTTCGTATGTAGTATATTGTAGTGGGTGGTAAATAGGTTTGGAATGTTCAGTTTTTTTCATAAAATTGAGTTCTTCAGAGACTTATGACATTAATTTCGAAAAATCTACATTTTTGGAAGTAAATTTTGAAAAAAAAGATGCATCCAAGTCTTACATTGGAAGAACTGTCAACTTAACTTGTAATTACAGTTCTTAATGTTGTTGTAACAGTTATCTATAATGAACGATATTTTTAACAGTAACGAGTTGGTAAAGATGTCTTTCAATACATTTCTATTCTAATCCTAACATCATTTCACTAAATATCTATGAAATACCCTAGACAGAGATGCAAACTGGTGCAGATAACCAGTAATGATTACAAAACTTGTGGTAGCATAATGCTAAAAAATGAAGCTATTATGGTGTATTCTTTTAATTTTGAACTAGTGGTGTGATGCAGCAAAAATGCTTCTGAACAAAACCACGCAAGATAATTTTCTAAAAAGTTCCATGCACTCTCTGAAGAACTAAAAATAAAATACTTTTGTATAACACTGCACAAATTAAAATATTTCAACCCCAAAAATTGGTTGTGGATTCTGCTCTATTTTAAGTATACAGTAAGATTGTTCTTTACATTCCAAGAATATCAAAAAATTTGCTGTTCCACAACATGTGAAAGCAAATGTTTAGTGGTGGTTGGCCTCCTCCTTGAAACCTTGCTGTCACATGGTAGCAGCTGTTATAAAAGCATGGCTGCATAATTATCTTTCAAATGGTAATATAGACTAATTTTTAAAATGATAAATCTTCTTGAGCACCACAGACTGATGAAGAGCAAGAAAGATAACAGCAAGGTAGGAGTGTAAAAAGAGTCCCAAAGCAAAATTAAGTAATGCATTTTGTATATTGTTTCTGGCATAAAATAACATTTGTTTAGCTAAATTCTAGTTCTGTAATCTGTACATAAACTTCCACACAAGTGTTATTTACATTGAATTTTTCAATGCCTATATGCCTCCAATATTTTTATGCTTTATTTACTGTTCAAAAATTTTCTTCATAATCCAATTTTTTGAAAAACTACTCAAAATTTGATTTGAAAAAAAATGTTTTTAAAAAGTCCTTAAAAGATTGGTAAAGTATTTTCTTTTGCCACATAAACAAACATTTTTGCTAAGTAGAAAATTGAGTTTTAAATATTTAATTTGTAAAGATTTTTGAAGTGTCAGAAGTATATTTAAAAAAAGTTACTACCTCAAACCATATTTTACTAAAAAAATTGTTTAATTTAATAAATATTGGATGAAAATATAAAATACACACACTTGGTTAAAGTACTTGAAAATATTGGTTTTTGATTACACATTAAAAGTAAAATATCAAAAATGAAAAGGGATGATTGAGTGATAATGGTGGTTTGGTAATGCTGAGTCAACACTGATGCTAACATGAAAAGCAGTTACAGGCACAAGAAAACAATTGCACTTGCAAGGGATTGCGTGTAGTACCCCCCAGGAAATCATTCCAAGTAACAAACTGTGGAGAGTGCTTGGTCACAAAAACTGAAATATTTTGATTCCGTTACCTAAGTAACATATTAGTAGTATTAGTAATGATAATAATAAAATAATATCCTATTAATAAAATACAATTAATACAAAACAAATGCACTGGAATTCAATAAGGAATTTAATATTTGGTGGTAATGTAGATGGGTAAGAGAAAGTTAAGTAATGGAAAAAGCGGCGAATCTTTGGCAGAAAAACTGTATTTCCGGGCCCTGGTTACGACAAAGTGAATAAATCCAGTTGCTAAATTTAGGGGGGGAAAATCCTCTAAAACGTTGTGTACCCATAATCCATGTTTTGTGGGTTCTTTATACCGAAAAATCTATTGACGACGAAACTTCTCCGTCCGTCTGTGAACAACGCTTGGGGATAAACTGTTCATCTGATTGCCTCCAAAATTAATATTCCTCTATCGACCTGCGAATATCGCGGCTTCTTGAATTCAAATTTTGATTTCAAAACCAAAATTTTAATTTTGGTGTTAACCCCAAGCCCCTGGGACATTTTCTAAATTAAAGAAGAAAAAAAACTCCCATCGTTTTTGATTAAATGTTTTTGTTCTATAGTGTGAAGGACATTTAAGCGAATGGTGCAAGTCTCATGTTCGTTGAAAATACTGATTTTTCGAAAATTGTTGAAGTTCAATTTTTTTCGGCGTATTTCTGCAAACAAAATATTGAAAAAAAGAGATTTTTACTTGTAATGAAATCTCTTTTTTGTGACATATTTTGTAATTGGCGGTCGCTTCGAATTTTCTGCGATTCGTGAACATAATTTGAGAGGTGTTTGGAAGCTATTGCTATTATAAAAGAAAGTAGATTGTAGGAAGTTAATCAATTTAACTTAGAACTAACAATTTACTACTTTATTTCAAGAAATTTTGATCGCTGGTTATGTAATGTTTCATTTGTAAAACTTAAAAATTACTTCTGTTTCTATCTATTGAAATAAATGCTGTTGTGCACAACAGGCGCTTCATTTGTATTGTTTGGTTTGAAGTAGTATATTAGCAATAATTCTAATACTTCATTTGAAAGAAAAATTGAAGAAAATTAGTACTAAAAATGTTTACGAACATTTTACCTTCAATTATATATTGCCTTGGCAAACAATGCAGTGATGGATTTTTGGGAAGTTCATTGTCGAACGGTAACAAGATAATTATGAAATGTGAAATTCTTTTGAATTCTTCTGTGTTGAAGATTGACATAGAATCGTTCTGATTCTCTGTTTTATTTACTTATATTTATTTAATGTCAAAAACAGTAAAACTAATAGTGGAGGACTATTAGTACCATGTACTATGAGGAGAAATGTATTCTGTGAACATTATCTTAAATTCTTGTATCTCTACCTTAACGCATACACATGTGGAATTCTCAATGCAGATGGAAACAAAACGTTTGTTAGATAAGTAAAGAGGACATTTAGGGACATTTTCCTAGATGTGAAAACATACAGAACATTTAGCATTACTTGTTCAGAAAAGGAGTAATGGGTAATTCATTATTGATTTAAAAGAAAATTAAACATTAAAGAATGAATATACATCTTGGAGACAGAGTGAAAAATAATTTTATGGTATACTAATTCATTGTATCATAATTCATTGTTTATGATCATGAAACAAGTAACGGTATTGTACCCTTGTGGGCCTTTCTGTTTCTTTATGCCTTTGCAGTCCTTTTGAATACTTTATGCCCACTTTAATACTAACATAACAAATACATTTTTATGAATTCAATTGATTAAAGATAAAATATAAGAAAATACAATAAATTAAAGACTTAATGCTGTAATAATTAAAAGAGATTGCTATAAACCATATTTTGCTTATTTGATGTGTGGTATAAGATTATTACAAAACCGTTATGTAGGGGCGAGAAAGTAAGTGCTATTTTAGCACCACAATTTTCCTCTTTTATATTTAATGAACGAAAGTTTATGAGAGCTGTCAGATTACAAATACTTTTGTCCGTGTGTATAGGGCAAATTCAGCCATTTGCTGGAGGAGAAGTCTAGTGACTTGCCACCCTGATTGGTGGTTTTCTGTGATTTTTTTTTCCAATACCAGGCGAATGCCAGAGTAGTACCTGGCAAATGGGCCATGGATTGCCTGCGATCTTTCCTTCTTCATCCATTTACCTTTCTCTCGCTTGACACACCCACTTACACATGCACTACACTAGCATTCATATTGGGAGCTTGTTCCGGCTGCCCCACTAGCTGAGGTATCTGGATGGGAAACCTCGCAAGCTGACATGTATGTCAGCACAGGCCCCCAGGACCCCACCTTTTCCTGGGAGGAAATTGTGTACCTCACATACGAGACAAATGACCATTGCAATTGACACTCCCAGACACGCAAAGTAATTAATTAATCTGACATGTGCTTTGTATGTAGTTGTGAGCACTTTCAATGTGTTTGCAACATCTTTTGTAGCATTATAGTCTATTTAATAAGTTGTTGGTGGCCTTTATACCTCAGTACAGCTAATGAGAGATATGTTTAGTTGTCCATTCTCTGACCATCTGACAAACTGTTCTTCTGTTTGTCCTTGGAACTTCACTGATGCATCACAGTTATTTGTTGTTCGTAGTAATAAAATTGTGTAACATCCTTTTTAATCCACCGAGATATTCTGATGTTATCATCTCAGCCAGAAGTGGATTGCATTCTTTCACAACTTGATTAAATAGGATGATTTTATAAAATCTCTTGTAAAGAGTTTTAATTTCTGTAAAACTTATTTTCTTGTATTTTCACTGCTAACTTACTTTTCCTTTGTTGTACCTTTTGTATTTATTTATATTGCTCAAGCATCGGTTTGAAAGACCTTCACTTGCATAGTATGATTGTGCATTATGGGTCCAGCGACATATAGTGAATATTTGCAAAAGTTTTTCAGGGAAACTACATTCTACAATGTATTCAGGATGTCCAGAATGGTTTTATAGCTAAAGTATCGGGCAAAGATGTTTCTTTGAACTGCAATACATTCTTTGAGATAACAAATACATCATCTAGTAGAGAGTGACTTACCTCCAGTCAGCAAGAGACTGTCCAGTTGTGGACCAGGGTCTTGTCACCTTCTACATTCAACACTAGAACTATCTGTAGTTGCAACCGAGCGGACTGGTGCCATTTCTGTGCTAATTTGTGAACTAAGAAATCTGTAAGCGATGGATGCTAAGGAAGGGAACTATTTTAGACCTCCAATTTTCTCGTGTAAAAGTAAATGGAATAACCATTTCCAGTGAATTTAATGTTTATTTTGAGTCCTTATTTCTGGTACCACAGGCAGAAAAGGATTTTTTTCCCTTAACAAATATTATAGTAAGAGTGAGGTTTATGTGCATACAGGCTGGACAATGTGTTATTTTTAAATGTACAAAAATCTGTCCTTTTGTGTATCTATTCAATAGAACTTAAAATTAATTTAATTATAAATAAATTGTTTATTAATTGGGTTTTTAGCTATGGCTCTTGTAAATGATTTGGGTGAGAAATACTTTTGTAGAATATTATAGTTGCACATTCAGAATTATAAGTCTAGATTTATTTATGATTTTAAGTATTTCTTCCTTTTGCTCATTTAATAATTTTGTTTTTGTTAATTTTTTGTTTCAGTCTACACGACTTGGGAAGTATGTCAATGAGCTACGCCGCAAGACAACGAATGAGGCTCTGGCAAGGCGTGCCAAAGAATTGGTACGCCAGTGGCGTCACTTGATTGCACATGAAAGTCCTGCTCCTTTACAAGTATCAACATCGAATCATCTTCGTAATGGACTTACAGTGCCTACAACACGTTTGGGTGGGACATTAAGTCCAGGGCTGCCTCGTACCACCCAAAGTGCTAGTGTAACTACAAAAATTTCGATCAGCCCACCTCTAAGTGAAAATGTTGTGAACACACACATTCCTACAGTTTCGCCTGCGGCATCAATAGCATCGAGTGGGAAAAGTAGTAGTCCCTCCTTGCAAACTCAATTGTCTTCCTCAGTTGCACGCCATAAGCAATCAGTGTATCCTTACACATCTCCTGTGACTCACAATTCACAAACAAGAAATCACAAAGTTCACAGACCAGAATCTCCTGGTCTGACAAACACCCATGTAAATCAGGTATTGGCATCAGAATCTGTACCAAAAACACATGTAGCTAATAAACGACTACGAAAAGATTCACCCCCACCACCCCCACTCCCACCCCCACCACCACCAAGTACAGAAAATTCACTTAAATTCGGTCAGCCAAATGGAGGTGTAGTTAGTAGTTCTGATCTTGAAGTTGCACATCCAAATGTGGAGGTCATTGAAGAATGTAGTCGTGATAGTTTTGGTGCAACAAGTGATCATGGATCAATAACTTTCTTATCAGAATCTCGTTCTGTACTGAAAAATGAAGTGCCTCAAGATAATGGACTCTCTGTGCATATTAAAAATAAAACTCCTGGACGCCGTAAGAGAATAGCTTCAAAAGGTGCGAAAACAAAAACCACATTGACAGACAATTCTTCACACCCTTCAGCTGTTGATGATATTGTTAAAGAGAAAATAGCATCTATAGCTCGAATACCAAAAGTTAAAACTACACAAGAATTGCTTGCTGGATTGCAAGCTAGAACTGTTCCTTCAGAAGAACTTCCAAGTGCAAATTCTGTTCCCACAGGAAGTAGAACTAGTCTAATGAATTGTACTCTTCCTCATAAACGAGGGAGTCCTTCTGACGCCCTTGAAATATCACGCAATAAAACTGAGCATATTGCTAAATTCTTGCGTTCACAATCGGAACTACAAGAATTTCATAGGGAACAAACTACGAGTGAGTTGCCAAGAAGCTTTAATGAGTGTATGCCTCATGCTTCACAAAGTGTGGATACTGTAAATGCTCCTCCAGTTTCAAGGATATCGAAGGAAGTGCAACCTTCCAATAATCTATTTGACAATTTTGAGCAATCAGTGTCTTCAAAGGACATTCAAAGTGCTTCATCTGGTGCTGAGGGTTGTGCTGACAAAATAGTTACAGATATTTTGGCTCGGTTGCCACCAGTTAAATATGATGAAATAAAGTGGGATGAACCTCAAGATTCAATAGGCAATGTGGTGTCTGTTGAAGAGACTGAAAATTTAGTAGATAGGCTGTATAATGAAAATATTGATGGAATTAGTGGCAATTACAGTCATGAAGCCAATGGTGATACGTTTCGTGAGTGGCATGAGACAGTAGTGAGAACATCGTATCAGGGAGATTTATTAACTATATTGCCTTATGTTGTAATTGATTAAAGAGAAAGAAAGAAATTTTTTGTTGATGTTTGTTAAATCCTATTAATGAAGTGATCCTTACGACACTTAAAGTGTTCCTTTCCTCGCAGTTTGCAAAAAACTATAACACAGAATCATATTTAGTCTTTGCCACTTAAATTTGTGCCTAAAAGGGAAGACCTTAATTATATTCCTACATTGAGGAATCATAATCACGGAGTTGGTTTGCATGAGCCTCCTAAAATGTCCATGATTTATCTGTTTTGGTCTGCCTTTTAATTAATTTGCTCCCAATCTGTCGACAGTACAGTTATATGCTGGCTTTCTTATAAGTTTACATTCTTTGACAGTGCAGGCCCTTGACTATCCTGTCAGTTGATTTATCCTTCCTTGTCAGTTGCCTTTTATTTTGGTTCTTTTTTTAATTTTGCCAATCTTGTGCCTGGTTATCCTTTCAACTACCTCACAGTCCAATACCTTGTCTGCTTATAACCTATCATCTACTTGTCCCAAGGTTTGTAATTTCATTTAATACCAATAGATCTCATTTCATCAAATCATACCTCTTTTCTAACCAATGCAGTAGACTCTCCTTTTTCTGATGACAGAATGGAGCTACCATCAGATAATGGAAACTGCTTGTTATGAAAATTTACTTTTTGAAGTATGGAATATATAAGATACAGGATTTTTAAAACCGGCCATAATGAAAATAAATATGATGCAATATGAAAATATCTAATAAAAATTGGAAGACAAATTTCTATATTGTACATTTTCTAAAATACCATTCTAAAAGGGGAAGAAAAAATAAACTTATAAAGGAGGAGAGGTTGTTTGGCGTCCTTTGTCAGATTAATGTGTACTCCTTGCATTTTCTATACCATTGCCCCTGATAAAAAAATCATATGCATCTGACAAAGTTTTGTGGCAGTTCAGCATAGTTTCTGTAACAACTTCTCATGTGGTTGGCATGTATAAATTGTAATTTTTTTGTGCCAGATAAGTGGTGCCATCTTGTTTTTCTCATTTCTGAAGCTTTGTTTAATGAGCATTACTTTTCTTCTTGTTTTACAATGAAGACTCCTTGTTAGTTTTGCCACATAAATTATAATTTTATTTCTTTTCTTTTTGACATTTTTGTTTCTAAATCAATAATTTATTAATTTTCTGTAAAATTTAACATTGTTTGACTTTTTAACTTGCAGTGACATATTGATCCATTAGCTACCCAATGAAATGATATTTGTTGTTATCTCTCTTGTACAATGTTTTGCCCTTTTATATACCGATCAATAAAATAGGAAGAAAAGAGGTGTTATCTCAAAGCTAAGTAACTTGTACACGCTTTCTTTTCTTTTGGATGGGTTGCATGGTGTATAAAGAAACTTCTCGATAATTAAATTTGCATTTATTAACGGAAAATGTTCAGGTCAGTAATGAATTGACAAGGAAACACGAACGTTCATACTTTTTTGGGATTCTTGAATAAGTAGACTTCACCTTTGTACTCTCCCCTCGTTGTGTATATCACTTACACTGAATTCCGATGCTTTGCACTTTGTATATTGTTGTGATATAAATCATATTAATTGTTCACTTTTATTTTTTTAATTATTTTTCTTGGTGTGTGTGTGTGTGTGTTCAAAATATTTTTGTTTTGTGAACACCAGATAAAGGAAGTCTACTGAATTTACAACATTTTTCTATGTAATGCCTACACTTAGTCTTCACTGTATATGTTTTCCTTATTCACTCTGTTACCAATCCACCCCTTTAATATTTCTCATTTAATTATTTATTCGTTCCTTTCATATTTGAGGTTAACACCAAGCTCAAAGCGTATCTTTTGTGTACTTATTAAATTTAGCTCATCGTTTTTGTAAATATGTTAATACATCATTTGTTGTAATTTAAAAATTAAATATTTATAATTTAAGTTATCATTTGTACAGCTTTTTGTTATCAGGCTAGACTGATTTTGGCATTAAGATTTATCATTGTTACGCTGGCAATGTATGATACTGATAACTGTTGCAGCCACAACACATTGCATTGTATTGCAAAATAGTGCATTTTATATTCATATCTGTGGATAAACATTTGAACCTTCAGAGTACAAATGAAAAGTAACTTGTCAGCTGAAAGAGAGATGCTGCCAAAATTGCTATTCGATTTCTTTTGTAAAAAGAGGATAAAAGTTTACTCTTTGTCACTTTCTTGAAACATATAAAAGCTCATTTTACATAATGGAAATATTCCAGTATTTCTGATAAATCTTGGATGAATGTTAACTTCATAAATACAATGCATGTTACTAGCTTAGTGGTCAGAAGGTCACCATGTATAATTGAGGTAAATCATATTTGCTACAATGGTATGTTCTCCCCACATCAAAATTACTTGAAATGTGATATTTTGACCAAAGCAGTGATTGCATTTCGAGTGTCTGTTTTTGTCAACAGTATGTAATTGTTAATACAATTTTGTCTTTAGATTTGTCAGTAATGTTTCTAGTTTGTACCATCTGAGTTTCTAAATACATCAGTCTAGGACTTCACTCCAAGTTGAGTGTGAAGTACTGGTGCCATTCTCCCATAAATTTTTGTAATAAGTTTACTTTGTGAAAATTACTTTTTTAAATTTCGGTGTAAAATGTATTGATTGCTTACCAGTTCCGAAGAAATAAAAGGGGTACTAAAATGGTACAACTATCTTTTCCAGTACTCCTGAAAATAATGTGATGCAGAAGTAAAATGAGGGTATAAAGTGATGTGAATAATAGAACTGGAAATACTTGTTTACTACTATGTACTTTATAAAATCAAGACATGTATAATTGTATTCAGTTGTAATTTTTTTGAAATTTTGAATTTGTTAGTATATGGGAATACAGTATTTTAAATACTTATTAATTACAATACATAAAACTACAACTTAAGCTTAATTTTATAGTTGCCACAAAACAGATCTGTGCAGTAACGTCATTTAGCTAATCCATTTTATCCCTTTGAGAAATACAATTGTCTTTCAAACAGAAGCATTTGTTTAGGAAATAAAATCATTACTAGTAATTGCAAGGTGGATGAACAATATTGATATTTTGTGATGTAATGGGATGATTGGTAGGTTTTGTGGTGTTAGAGACAAGAATTTACCCAAGCTCAGAAGTATTATATTGCCTACATCATTTTGGAACATTAATTATCATTTTTTGCCCATTGGTTCTTGTTGCTAGTGAAGATAATCATAAGATGACAGCATGAACTACTACAAGGTAATGATTAAAAATATTCCTGCCCTGGAAATTTTTTGATTTCCTCAATTAAATGCAGTTGGGAGGGATATACTGTTGAAGGACTCTATCCGGTGCTTCCCAAACATGTGTATCCTAAACCCATGGGGTATGAGGGAAACTTCAAGGGTGCAAATGAATAGCCTCTATGGGAAAATGGAGAAATCGACACTTAATTTAAAATGTGTTTTCAATTTAAATTTGGAGAGACCAAAAAAATATAGTTCAAACGCTCAAGTTGGGGGCAGATTTTTGTTTGAAATGTCAAAAATAATCGGTCATAAATGTGTCAAGTCATGCAGGCACGCCCATCTCATTGAAAAAAATGACTTCATCTCAAGATTTGAAAGTGTTCAAAGTGTATAATGAGGTATAATCATGATTATTCATACTGAGGTTAAAATGTGTCAGTTACCATTATGCAAATCGAAAATAGCTGTGTTAATCTTTTATCGACTTAGGTGCACTTGCTACAATGCATATGTTTCTTATAATTATTTACCATAAAAGGTGTGAAGAAATTGTTTTTTATGACCTATCATAACCTTACATTGAGGTATTGGGTTACCTAGTAAACGAAATCGTTAGGCTGAGTTGAAATTTTATTAATCCACATTACGCTAATACGTCTACCGCGTGGTTACAGTTCACAGACTAGACTGTTTCAGATGAATTGCGAATACCGAAACCTCATTGCCAACTCTCAAATACCTACTAGCTGAGTGATATCAGGTGGATTATATACAGGAAGTCCCACCAGTATGAGCTACCCCCATTACTTCTAAACTGTTCACGATATCGATATGCCAGTTTCGCTCAACACGGATGGGGGCAAGTAATATGCCTTGGAAATGTAGTTTGAAATATTTTAAGTCTTCCAGACATTTAATGGCATTTGATTTTGTAAATATAATCTTGTATTTTCTTCAATAACAATATATCATAAAGATGAATGCCAAGATGTAACATGTTAATGTTTGATAGAAATTTGAGTATAAAATTATGATTTCTGGTGTGATTTTAAATGAACTTCAATATTTTCTGTGGTGGGCTCAGAGGCGGCTCCACGGGGGCATGTTCCGCCCCTGGGCAAGGCTTTCGTGGCACCGGCACTGTTGTGTGGACAGGGTTGCGACGTCGATGTTTTTAAAACAGATTTAGTACCGGCAATTCTAACATTCGCGTTCGCGCGGGGAAGAATTTGAAGACAGTTGCCGAATTATAATATATGTAATTAAGTGTTAACTGACAAAAAGGAAAAGTAGTAATAATTATCAAAACTCAGCATTAAGCCTGAGCACTTGCGGAAATATCAAGAGGTCAGAACCCTGAATTCGCCATAGAACGATATGGGAAGAAGTTGGGGAGGGCCCTATACTTCCCGAGCACGCGTTGACCGCTTCGGGTGACGTGCGAAAGGGGCGTTGGCAACGCTAGGACAGTGGCGTACGGAGACAATTTTTGTTAAGGGAAGCACTTTTAACGAAAAACCATTAATGATAAAAATTTTACAAAATGTAAATATTAACCCGGGAGAGGTCGATCTTGCATACGAACGTAACTGAACGCCTG